CCGCGCCCCCCCCCCACGAAGCGCGGCGTGCCCCGCATGTCATACTGGGGCCACACGTACGCATCCGTTGCAGCCGGGCCCCATTTGGGACGATTACTAGGACCAGCGGCCCAAATTTTGTGTTTGTCAAAATAACTTGGGTTAATTTTATTTTATTCTCGGAAAATTGTTGAATCCCCCCCCCTCCGAACAAGAAAAGTTCCCCTCCTCCGTACAACTTCCCTCGTCGTTTCCTTCACGGAAGGACGTAACTATAGAGTACCTGTATACGGGAGAGTATCGCCATCTCTGTGCCGCTTTCTGATTTGTTCATCAGTTTTTTGGCTATCATGGAGCCCCAAAGTTGGACCAATGAAGATGTTGCATGTGTGAGGGATTTGCGATTTGACCATTGATTCTTATGTAAAAGTTCGCGAGAAACACGATGGTACCACTGGTTTTCTCTGAAATCATCTCCCAAGCTCAAAACAAGCTCTCAAGTTGAGGCCAAAATGGAGGGGATATCCCACGCTATCCTGAGAGTCCATCTCTACATCAAGACAAACTCTCCATGCAAAGATAGGGAGCAAACACATTGACAGGGCTGCCACTTCATTTGGGGACTCCCTAACTGATAACACGGCAACCCTGATAATGTATTTGCATGTATTTGTATTTGCATTTGTTATCTTTGCATGGAGAGTTCGTCTTGATGTAGAGGTGGGCTCTCAGGATAGCGTGGGATATCCCCTCCATTTTGGCCTCAACTTGAGAGCTATTTTTTGAGCTTGGGAGTTGATTTTAGAGAAGACCAGTGGCACCATCGTGTCTCTCGCGAACTTTTACATATAAGAATCAATAGTCAAATCGCAAATTCCTCCAATATGCAACATCTCCATTTAAACAAACCCGACCCAGAGGGACACATATTATCGGCTGAGAAATGAATGATAATCATACTCAAAAGGCCAAAACGTAAGATACAACTATTTGAACTTCCAGGTCGTTAAAATTGCATAGCTTTCGAATTGAAGGAGAACAGTGTTTTTCCCTCGCAGTACCATCGTTGCAACTGGATGCAGCTCGGTTTTTATGATGAGATCCGGACGGTAATAACGAGCGGTGGCGTGTGCAGATTTGACGGCGGCGCCGCGGCGCGTTCTCCGGGCGTCGCGCGCGTTGCCGGTGCCTCCTCCGCGCCGCGACGCTCGCTGTGCGCTCCGACGCCGCCGACTTGGAAACTTGCTCTCAGTCTTGGTCGTGGATCCGAGCCGGTGCTGTTCTCCGCCTCGCTCTCTGTCCCGCGCTTTTCCGCTATCGTTTTCTCCGTGTCTCGCGTGTTATGTGCCTTTGTGGCATTTGTGCTAGTGTTATGTTCGATATCACCAGTAAGTGTTGCTCTCCGGATTTTCGTCAAGTTCCCCGCGCAGGGGACTTGTGTAGTTTAAATGTTGTCCCTTCGAACTCGCCGAGATGAGAATAATCCCTTAAACGTATCCCTTTTGACATGAGAATATTTTGAATAATCCTTGTGAATACTGTGACGAGCATTTGTAAAATATTCTGAGGATTCCCTTCGAACTCGCCGAGATGAGAATACTCCCTCAAACGTATCCCTCTTGACATTAGAATATTTTGAATGAACCGTGTGAATACTGTGACAAGCATTTGTAAAATATTCTGAGGATTCCCTTCGAACTCGCCGAGATGAGAATACTCCCTCAAACGTATCCCTCTTGACATTAGAATATTTTGAATGAACCGTGTGAATACTGTGACGAGCATTTGTAAAATATTCTGAGGATTCCCTTCGAACTCGCCGAGATGAGAATACTCCCTTAAACGTATCCCTCTTGATATTAGAATATTTTGAATAAAAGGTATAAAATAATAAAACTTTTGAGTAAACAACATCTGATGTAGTTAGGCTAGTTCTAATTGAATCCATCCAACTAAAAAAGTGAGAAAATCAGATTGAATGTCGATACCGAGGATACGTCATATGATTTGTTACAATCAGGGACGATTTATTTTCACCCAGAATCGCGTAGTTCTTCTTGCTCTTCTGTATATAGGGACACAAAGGGCCATCTATACCCTGAATGTAACTCTAGTTTACTGTAACAACCATTTGCCATCCACACATGGAAGGCTTCGTTGGATCTAGGAAACAGTGGAGCAGGTCGATTGTTGAAGCTGATCGACAAAGCTATAGACAAAGAAGACATAGGGAGTATGGAGGGATCCTATCGGTTGAAATGGGTGGTTCCTATAGACTACGGGAGAAAATGATGGACAAATACTATAGGTTCTCTCACGGGTTGCCGTTCGTTAGTCCATTACCTACCTCCTTTGTCTATTGCAACCACCTGCTTCTACCAATAGGATCCCCTCCGTCTTCTGCGGAGTGATTAATGAAATTTATAGACAAAGAAGACATAGAGAGGAAAGAGCGATCCTACAACTGGTGGTTCTTACAGACTAAGAGGAGAAATGATGGACTCACTGTCGGGTCTCTTGTTGGTTGCCGTTAGTTAGTATATTACTTACCTCCTTTGTTCATTGCAACCACCCGCTTTCACCAATAGGATCCTACCATATTCTTTTTGTCCTCTTTGTCTATAGTTTCGTCTATCAATTTCAATAATCGGCATGCTGTATCTATAGCTTTATCTATCAATTTCAAGAATCGGTCTCAAAAAACAAATGCGAGGGATGGAACCGCGTAGTTATTAAACCCATCAATCCAGGAGTTGTTCCGTGATTTTGGCCACGTTTCCGATCGAGAATCCTGTTTTGCTGTGTCAACTGCGTCATTGGACCTGCCTTGAAATTAGCATTTTTGCAGTTGCGCAGTATCCGGGCGTTCACACCGGCCGCCGCGGCCGAACGGAAGACGGATCAGCGTTAAGCGCCGGGCGGCGCAAATGTAACGCCCTCCGTTGCCGGGAGCGAGGTCGCGGAAAAATCTCCGTTTCCGCTTAATAGCGTCTTCGAGGAGAGGTGCATAGGCAGAGCACTTGGTTGCAAAATACACTCAACGAATTTGAAATCGAAATTTGAACCGTCTAAGTGTTGCTCGAAATACGTTTATTTCGGCAACAACGCCCAACTCTGCTGTGCTAAGGAAAAACGCCGTATGAGTTTTCACGCGTTGCCAGATTCCTCTCAATTAAACCCGAATTTACTGGACATTTTTTGAATGTTTTGCTTCAGATTTTTCAGACGGTTTTGTTCGCAATTTGATCTAAAATACTAGAAAATTTCAAGGTAAAATATTCATAAATTTCCTCAAAAATTACTATCTCACGGGGGGAAATTGGCAACTATCGAATGTTTAACAGCGTTCCTCCATAGCATGGTAGTACTGTCCATGGAGCTGAAGATGTAGGGCCTTACCACCATGTAAAATTTTGTGAGAAACACGGCGTGACGGTGCCTCTGGTTTTTTCTGAAACTAACTCCAAAGCCGAAAAAAAGCTCTTAAAGTCGAGGCCGTTATGTAGACGCTACCCTGAGAGTCCACTCCTATATCCAATCAAATTCTCCGTATACTAGATAGGAACCAAATACTTAAAACAGGATCGCTACTTTGTTTGGAGACTGCAATACTGATAACACGGCAACCCTGCTAATGTACTTGCTCCCTATCTTTACATGAAGCGTTTTACTGGGACTCTCAGTAAGCGTGGGATCTCCCCTTCATTATGGCCTCAACTTTTAAGATCCATCATGTTTCTTGCAAACTTTTATTTTGGAATCAGTACTTTAATTGCAAATTCCCGACCCATGTAAGAGGTCTATTTCTCTCTGTAAACTTAAAACGAGAAACGAGATACGCCCGCAATTTCCAGGGTTGAGTGGTGAAGCTTCGAAGCTTCACCACTTCGAAGCTTTCTGTCGTCAAGAGGAAGAGGAAAGGAGGAAGAAGACTCTATCCATGAGCTAGCAATTAGTGGTGGTTTTTCTCTGATTTGGATGAACCGAGCCCGTACTTATATTCAAGGGAAAGGGGCACTTTCAAATGCCGATAAGGAACAGTCTTTTCCAGCCATAAATCGATTCGGTGACTTTAAGTAATTGCATCTAAGCAGGAGCGGTTTATTTCGGGCCGAAAATAACTCCGACTAGCCTTAAATTCCATGTCAAATTCCGACGGAACCGGTTCGAGCCCCGCTCCCGCAACGCTTCGGAGCAAAGGCGTGGATCGATTACCTTTTCCCCCCGCGAAAATACCGCCCAAAATCCAGATCAGTCATTTTCAGCATGGATCTTCGGCATTCGCGTTCGTACTTCTGCGCGTCATTCATCGGTCACTTCGAATTCCAGTTCCGTTTGGATTACAGACATTTTTCGGGGGGGTCTTTAATCAATTTCGAATTTTTTGCAGTACGTCGTTTCCCGGGCGAAGGCACGTAACTTCATTCCAAGGTTGCAAAATTGACTCCAACAATTTTATTTTTCACGAGAATGTATCCATGATATTTATTGCCGATTATTTTTTCTGATTTTTGCATGAGATCAGTCGAAAACTGGGTTGAACTTTCAGTTAGAAATGCCTAAGATCGTCCTGGTAAACGCGCAATTTTCCAGTGGATATTCGGCAGCATTGAAATGTAGTTACATTCTTTCTAGGGAAACGACGAGTTGGACGTATTTCTGCCAAATGGAACTAAGTGCATTATGGCGTGATCCCTGTTATGCATATATTCTTATGGGTCTCAGGGCTCATGTCTTCATGCACATAGTTCCGTTTGGCAGAAATACGTCCAGTTGATCTTGTGTTCTTCCTGTCCACGTGTGGTCTCTGATGAATGTCCGAATGGCACTGCATGAATCCTATTTGGACTGTCCGCGAGATATCATCGATAAAATCTTCCAAGTTTCGGCGAATAATTAACATTTTAAGCCGATCTAAATCGCATTAGTGCAGAACTTGGAACAATAACTCGTCATAAAAGTCGGATCATATTATCCTTGGCCGTTAAAGTAAAGACGAGATACGGTAAGATCTGGGATCAAGACTTCATCTTCTGGGAGCAAAGAGCCGCATTGAGAGGAAAAGGTCAAAATTGGCGATTTTGAATTTTCAACGGGAAGTGCTCTCTTGAGGCCTGGAAAAGTAGCGGTTTTAACTTAATTTTTTCACTACAGAGCTTTTACCTAAAAATTTAACCTAAATTTAAGTATTTTTGTCTTGGAACTTTAAGACGTCGTATCTTCCTCAATTGTTGAGCTTTCAGAGTCAAACTAGCGTCAAAATTCCCAAACTTCCTTCCTCTTTGCAAGGGAATCTGTAACTCAATTTTAGTTTTTGGAAGATGAGGTCCTTCTCTATTCATCTTGTCACAAATCTTTCTGAAACCGGGTACGAAGACGTCATGTGGACGGGAGGGGGGGGGGGGTGTGTCGCTTACGGTGTGTCCGTACGATTTACCAATGTTTCATCTATTTTGTTTTCCTTTTGTCGATTGCTTCCAACATTCGTTGCTGATAGTGTTTTTTTCTAGTTTTATTTTCAATCTTAATTTTGAAACTTTTTTTCACCACGACTGTCGGTCTCATTGGACGCATGCATGGCGTCACACCAGAAGTCTTCATCTGTCTTCTTGGCATCGCTCCGAAATGAATATAGCAGTTCACGTTTCAAAATTCGCGCACTTAGGCTAATCCTGCCGAGCTAAGGAAGAACGCCGTATGAGCCTTCAGGCGTTGCCATATTACCTCCAAGAAAACCCGAGTTTTCTGAGAAAATCGTGAATATTTTTCCTCGTTTTTCAGTAAATTTTGTCCACGATTCAATCTAAAATATCTGAAAGTTTCGAGGAAAAATATGCTCAACTCCCCTAAAAAATACATGTTTTATTCGGGGAAATTTGACAACTCTCGGATGTTCATGCGACGTTTTTCCTTAGCACGGCAGAATTAGTGAATTGCAAGTGGTCTCTCTAGATAGATTCGCATCAACTCAGTTGTCTTTCGTGCACCTTATGTGGGTTGATAAAAGCTTGTGCCCGAGGGAGCCGCAATGACTGTCGGGCTGAAGAAGGGGGGGGGGGCAGCAAAGGGGGCGTGCGTGGTTGTGTTTGGGTCTCAACAGCGAGGATATTAAGGTGGTATGCGCACCCGGCTCGCGTGGTCGTTGCCTGCCAAATAGTTAATAAACACGCCGGGTTGTCATATTGTATCCCAAGTCTATGCTTCACTAAAATGAGCAGCGTTCGAAACTCACAGGCGCCAACACGCCAAATGCGCCTAATAAATCGGCCATGGCGCCTGAAAAATGAAGGTTCTGCGCCAACGTGGCCCCTAAAAATTGCCCCCTAAAAATCTAATTTTTAATATTCGGTGATTATTCGAAATTTTCAGCACTACAAGTGAATGCTTT